TCTCTCTCTCTCTCTCTCTCTCTCTATCTATCTATCTATCTATCCATCTATCTCTCTCTTTCACTCGCTCTCTCCCTCTCTCCCTCTCTTTCTCTCTTTCTCTCTTTCTTTCTATCTCTGCTCTCTTCCTCTTATCTTTCTCTCTCTGCTCTCTCTATCTGCCTCCTCTCCTTCACGCCAATGGATTCTTTTTTTCATTGCCAGACAAAAGGAAACAACTGGCCTGCTGATTCCAGACATTTACCCTTTTCTCCGGGGGAATATATTCAACAAAACATCTTGTGCTCGCGGCAGTCTTTTTTTCCTTTCTCGCTTTTCTGGAGAAACAGAGAAACAACCTTTCCTCTCCCAGCGGCGCCCGAGTCTAGCAGCTCAAACGAAACACGTCCCGAATGTGTCGTCAAGCTGTGGTGCTCCTTAACTTAACTCTCTCAGTGTGTGTTCACCCACAGGCGCGCAGAGCTCGTGGCGACCCAGAGAGTAGCGACAGTCAGTGGCAACTTGCTTAAAGTACCGAGTACCCTGTTTCTGTCGTTACACTCCCTTCCTCGGAGAAGTTCCCATTTCAGTGACCGTTTATACCCTTGTGAGAGGCGGAAACTGCTCTGTTGAAGAACTAAAAAAACTGCAACTAGAAAAATTAGCCTTTAAAGAACGACTAATTATATGTTTCAATATAAATCGTAACCCTATCTTATGTAGGCTCGTTTGAAAGAGAATGTTAAAGAGTAAATCGATGTCACCCCTGGGAATTTAATTTTTCTTCTGGTTAGAAAATTGCGGTTCTTTACTTTTATTTGCAGAGGGTAAATGGAGAAGATGTTAGGCTAGACAACAAAAACTGTGTTGAGATTGTTCTTTTTTTTACAAGTGGTATCGATGCCAAGTCACTTAGCAACGAAAATTTTGATGTCCCGCGCTTTTTTTCTTTTGGACTTAGCCAAACATTAGGGTGCACCCCCGAAACCTTTCCTCGGTGTATATCACATTTATCCATAACATTCTTGTCACGTGACAAAGTTTATTTACAGTGAGAGCGCTCCGCTGCGGAGGCAAAGGGCGCCCCGGAGCGCCCCAGAACGGCACGTACGCCTACCCAGCAAACATTAACCTCGTCGTTATAATTGTTTCGTCGCTTATCGGATTGTCCTTCGCGTAACAATTACAATTGTCAGGGCTCGCCGCGGGGTGGGTAAGATTTACAGTGGAACCGTAACTTACGAGTGGCACTTCTTGTGAAATAATCTTTGTGGAGTGTGCGAGGAGATTGATAAAAATAGTGAAGCAAATATTCTTGAAATTAGGGTGTTCCATAACGATTCCGCGGAATAAATCGCGATTTCTTATTGTTTCGCAGACCCTGCTACAGCCCAACAGCGCACCCTTGCCCGAGTACAAGACGTCGGCTCTCAAGAAGTCGCGCTTCGTCCTCTCGCACTACGGCGCCTTCAAGAGCTGCTGGGACTGGCTCATCCTGCTCGCCACCTTCTACGTCGCCATCATCGTGCCTTACAACGCCTCCTTCGTCAATCCGGACCGGCCGTCCATGGTCAGCGACGTGGTGGTGGAGGCCTTGTTCATGATGGGTGAGTCGTCTGTAGTGTCGCAGTTGGCGTAGTACGCGAGTGTAGATCAAAGTATGGGAGTGCCAAGCGGCAGAACAGCGAAAATACCTACTAGCTTTATGCATCTTTGAATGATTGTGAATGCAATGATTCTATTCTCCTCGTAAGGGTGAAATAATTTTTCTCGCTCAGTTCGAGTATAACTAAAGGTCCTCACCCAATTTGAGTGAGGTTTACACGATACTCTTCAATAGTTGGGCGATGTCAGGGAAATCTCACTCCTTATTTCGACTGAGAACTCTCTGTGAATATGACCCAAATAGGAGGACCCTCGGCCAGACTTCCCCTCCTAGTCCGTGAGGGAGAGCGGGGAACACAGAAAGGCTCAGAGGCAGGGGAGGGAAGAGGTTGGGTTCCGGAGCAGTCTGTGCGGTCAGTCCCGGCATGCGCGCTGCTGCTCTGTTCTCCGGATATCCGGGGGTGGCGGTGCGGGGGGGCTCGCATGAGTTCCGGCCAGCGGCAAATTCGTCGGAATTCGTTGTGCAAATATCTCTACTCCCGCAGATCGCTTGCCGTGCGAGCCGTGCGGCGCCAACAGGCGCGGTCGATCGCGTCTTTTCCCCCGAGCCCTGAGCCCGGCAGAGTTCGGCGGAGAGGATGGGGGTTGGTTGGTTACCGCATGCACGGCCGGCTCGGATGTGGGCGCGAGGGACCGCGGCGGCGCGGCGCACTTGTGAGTGTTTGACTTTGGCGGCCGATGGCTCGTGAAGTAGAGGAGGGTGATACCCCCCCTGGTGGGCG